CAGTGTTTCTCATATTCCCCCAGTGTTTCTCACATTCCCCCAGTGTTTCTCACATTCCCCCAGTCGTATCTCACATTCCCCCAGTGTTTCTCACAATCCCTCAGTCATATCTGACATTCCCCCGGTGTAATCTCACGTTGCCCCGGTGTTTCTCACATTCCCCCAGTGTTTCTCACATTCCCCCAGTGTTTCTCACATTCCCCCAGTGTTTCTCACATTCCCCCAGTGTTTCTCACATTCCCCCAGTCGTATCTCACATTCCCCAGAGTTTCTCACAATCCCCCAGTCGTATCGCACCTTCCCCTAGTGTTTCTCACATTCCCCCAGTGTTTCTCACATTCCCCCAGTCTTATCTCACCTTCCCCCAGTGTTTCTCATATTCCCCCAGTGTTTCTCACATTCCCCCAGTGTTTCTCACATTCCCCCAGTCGTATCTCACATTCCCCCAGTGTTTCTCACAATCCCTCAGTCATATCTGACATTCCCCCGGTGTAATCTCACGTTGCCCCGGTGTTTCTCACATTCCCCCAGTGTTTCTCACATTCCCCCAGTGTTTCTCACATTCCCCCAGTGTTTCTCACATTCCCCCAGTGTTTCTCACATTCCCCCAGTCGTATCTCACATTCCCCCAGCCGTATCTCACATTCCCCTAGAGTTTCTCACATTCCCCCAGAGTTTCTCACATTCCCCCAGTCGTATCTCACATTCCCCCAGTGTTTCTCACATTCCCCCAGAGTTTCTCACATTCCCCCAGTCGTATCTCACATTCCCCCAGTGTTTCTCACATTCCCCCAGTGTTTCTCACATTCCCCCAGTCGTATCTCACATTCCCCCAGAGTTTCTCACATTCCCCCAGAGTTTCTCACAATCCCCCCAGTCGTATCTCACCTTCCCCCAGTGTTTCTCACATTCTCCCAGTCTTATCTCACCTTCCCCCAGTGTTTCTCACATTCCCATAGTCGTATCTCACATTCCCCCAGTGTTTCTCACAATCCCTCAGTCATATCTGACATTCCCCCGGTGTAATCTCACGTTGCCCCGGTGTTTCTCACATTCCCCCAGCCGTATCTCACATTCCCCCAGGTTGATCTCACGTTGCCCCGTTGTTTTATCACATTGTCCCAACGTTACACAAAAAAACTTTTTTGGTATAGGGGGAGCCAATGTTAAAAACTTAGAAATTTTTTCCCAAAATTTCGAAATTTTGAAAACATGTTTTTTGGAATCTACACATCATGATCGATGCAAATATGCAATAAAAATTTTTTGGCCAGTGCAAAAAAAATTTCACAGAAAAAATCGGGGGTCCCCTTTCCTAGACTCCAACCGCGAAACTTTGATTTCATAGAATTGCACAGTTTTTGAAGAAACATTTCTCACCTAATCCAGGTTCGTCTTTAATTTCGTCGCTGTCGAGATTTCCCCCATTGAAAATCCAATTGCTATCGTCAGTCTCGAAGTCCTGGTCCGACTCGACCTCAACTTTGACCCCGGCATAGTCCCTGAGTTGTGAAAGTGCAACCGTGAGGTGGGAACACGTAGATGGGAATTGTTGCGAAATTAATATTTCCAAAGATTCCGCCAGTTGTGATGGCAACATTGCTAAATTGTGATTTGGTTAATAAAATCATTGCAAGTATCATAAAAATGTGCAAATGTCACATTACTTATTTTCAATCAAATTATGGAAATGAATTAATTTCTTACGTAATGTTGATGATGATTTTAAGAGTACTTTAATGTTGACCACTAATCGAGCAATGGCCGTGGTCAAGTCTTCCATTTCGGAGAGGACCTGGTCCATTTTAATTTAATTTGTTTGAGAAAAAGTGGACTATTTTTTCAGGAGAGCGAAAAACATTTGTACTGGAGGAAAATATGTAAATGTTGACAATCGAATTTGAGCAGAAAATTCGTGCCAAAAGTGCTTCGTATGAAAGTGAGACTGAATTCGCTCGACAAATCCATGAAATTTTGAGTTTTCAGTTTTACATGAAATTTTTATCATGATTTATTTTTGTTAGGTGAGGCAAAATAAGTAACCAAGCAACCCCGAAAAAGGGGTCAAAGGTTACGGCGAAGCCTAAGTATGCATTCCTGTATACCCTTCAAAAATGTCGACAAACGTACAGCCCAAACGGCTCATCTTAGAGCTTAGGTGTAAAAATGTGGATCAAGCTACCGCGGACCACGGATCAAGATACCACGGACCGCGGAGGTCCATCAACCTACCGCGGACCGCGGTACCACGGATCAAGTTACCGCGGAACAATAAAAATTGTCACTTTACCCCCAAAATCCTCACTTGACCCCAAAAATCTCACCTTACCCCAAAAATCGAATTTGACCCGAAAAATCTCACTTGCAAAAATTGAATCTGACCCTAAAACTGCATATGACTCCAACAATCTCACCCGCCGTAAAAATGGCATGTCGTCGTACTAATACTAAAAAGGCTTAAGTGCAGTAGTTGGGCGTACTCACGACAACATCTTATTTCGCATCGCCACTAATTTAGCAAATTTGCCAAGTTAAACAAGTGTTTGTCGTGAGGGATTCGCAAAACATGACTTCGCAAATCTAGCAAATCTTTTGTAAAAACACCTATTTTGGCGTTGTTTCCATGAATTTCTGGCTGGTAATGCTGAAGATGAGTTTGCGAAATAACTTTGAGAAATAAGAGCATACCAATTTGCTGGGTAAATTTGGGAAAAAAAATTCCATAGTTTTCCAGCCAAAGTTTTGCGAAATCTCGCAAATTTCGAAAAACTTCGCAAGTTATGTTTCTATGCTCAATTTGCGAAATATGCGAGACATGCGAAGGCTGACGTGAGCACGCTCAGTGTTCAATTTTAACAAGGTCTAAGTGCACAGTAAAAACTAGAAAAACGCCTAGCCGCAATTCCAAAATTATAAAGCGTGAATTATGAATATAAAATCATATTGTGCACTGGAATGTAATGATTTAGTCAGATAATCCTGATATAATATTCGAAATTTTGAAAACACACCCACGGGGGGTGTGGCTCTCGTCGCTTAAATCAAGTTAAATATTTCCTGACATGCGATACATATGTATATATAATTTTACCGAGCCCAATGCGGCAATCCCAACTGAATATTCCAAATTTGGAAACCCATACGTGGGTGTGGGTTTCAGATAATTGTTTCAGATAGTTGTTATATAATTAGCATTATGTGACTTAATCATTGCATTCCAGCGCACAGTATGATTTTGCATTCATAATTCACGCTTTATAATTTTGGAATTGCGGTTAGGCATTTCGGCCGTTTTAAAATTGTGAAAAGACTGCACTTAGGCCTTGTTAGAATTAATACGACGATGTGAACCCAAAAATCTGTGGAATTGGAAACTTGTTGAAATTATGAAAATGTAGTTGGTTGTGATAAGATGTATGTAATTATGAAATCATCGCACTAAATGAGAAGAATTGGTGGTACGAGAAGGGTTCATGCCGTATGGTTATTTATTGAGATATAAAAATGCGCAACTTTGTATTTCGAAGTAGTTGTGCTTGGCTCGGACATTAAACTATGCATGTTTTCATCATTTCAATTTTATTGTAAATGGAAATATTTATTTTCATGATCTGCGTATTACTTGAAAAATATTTCCTCCATTTTACAAAAATAATTACAAATCCGTCTTATTTCTGGGATAAATTAATGAGGGATTTTTCAATCAATTCGATGAATATTGTTTACGCATAAAAACGACTAGGCAATAAATGATACATGCATATTTTGTGTAAGTTTGAGAAATGATGTCACCAAGTCCAAAAGGTTTCATAGAACCTTGCATACATGAAATGCCTTCAAAAACTAATTATGCGTGGAGGAGGAGGAGATGAGAAATAGACCGATTGCCCTCTCTCTTTCTTGCTCCTTCTGACCCTACTGGGCACTGTAAATGAAACTGGATCCGTTGCATACTTCGCCACTGTTCGGGCAAATTGTTCAGATGTTGTTGCGCTACAAGGAAACAAGGCAGCCTAGCTAGGCCGGCTAAAAAATATAGTATGCATCCCACGTATAAAAGCATGTAAGAAGTTTGGGTTAAGTGGTTGAGATAAAGAGGTGGGACAGTTGACGAAAACCGAACTAAAGAAAAACAATGGTGCTGACTGTTAAAATTTTCCCCACGCTCAACACCATTCTGACAAAGGCTACACCCAACTGTTAACTCCGTGCACATAAATATGTCACCGAAAATCCTATTTATGGCTCTCGCCCCAAATCCATGCACACGACACGCTCAATTACAAATTAGTGACAAGGGGAATTTGTGAGGTGTACATATTTATGTATTATTTGCTGTACACATCTGTACGTATAGGGAAATTTAATTATTTTAGCGATGCAGCCACATTAAACCAGAGATAATTTGTTAACGGCGTTCGATTGTTAAGCAATAATTGATTATCCTAAAAATATAAGTCATTAATGAACAGACAGGACATCAATTACTTAATAATTTTAAACTATAGTTTAAAATTGCATTATAATGCAATTCATTTATGTAAAACATGAAATCTTATTCGTAGTACCATCATTTTTACTACGCTCTTGTAACAAGAAAATTTGTGCTACTTAATTTCTCATCACTTGCCCACAAAATTTGAAGCATTAGATTGTACATATGTATACATTTGTACATAGGTATACCTATGTATAAGATGGTACTTGAAAAAATGTCAGTTATGATTGGATATTGACATGCACAAAAAATTGAAAATCCAAAATTCAAATTATATAATAGTGTCCTAATTTTATTGTTTTTATAAGTTAAATAAATAATTCTTAAGTCAGTAAAGGAAATAATTGGCAAATCCTTAAAATGAATATTTAAAACCAACTAGTTAATAGGTAATAATAAACTCAAGTCGTTAAATATTTAAAATTAAAACAATTAAATCATCAAATAACTAACATGATCTAACAAAGATTTGTAGCTTAATTAAAGCTTCTCAGCATCCACTACGTAAAGTCGAAAAGTAGCCCTTGTATGCCTGCCCAATCCAGCTGGTTAGGTTTTCAACACTAATACCCGAATGAAAGAGCGAGAAACAGTTGGATTGAAATTTGAAACATTTTATTGTTTCAAAGAAGTTTACGAAATGGGGAACTTATCTTGGGAAAATCGGACTACTTTCCCAGTGTCGTTATCCCTTCGTCGAGACACAGTCAAGTTAAGTGTAGTTTGTGAGCGATTCAATTTAGAGGAAAGTGGCTGGTTGGAACAATGGAAAGCCTGGTGAGTAATTGCAAAGTTTGAAATTTTAATTTTGTACGCTTATTTAACCACGATAAAAAAATTGCCCTACATTGAAGTTATCATCTAACCCCCTACACAGGGTGGTCTAAAAGTGTCGCTTCGAAGGAAAACACTTTAATGGAAAAAATTTCACAACGGTACATTATTTTCCGAGTCGCCTTTGAAATTCATCATTTCAAAGGAACGATCGTGTACCATGTTCCATCAGTTTTACCAATAAAAAATCCCAACTTCAAATCCTCACGGCTAATTAAAATTGATGGCATAAATTGATGATTTTCCGTTTACAAAACCTTCCATTGTAGTAAGCCATTAAAGCCATTCTGTATTAGATTAACGTTAAGGTAATCATTACTACGCCAAATACCAACGTGTGGGGCTGGATGGTCTCGAAACTGCTCCCTCCAAAATACGGAGGGGCACTTGGATGATGCTCATAAGATTAGCTCCACCCAAGTGTAAGGCTCATGAGGTTTAGCTCGTCAAGGTGTAGTACTCGTGGTGTGGACCTCTTTATGAGAGGTCCACCTGTGGACCTCTTTATGAGAGGTCCACCTGTGGACCTCTTTCATAAGTTAATTGACTTTTTAAATTAAAGGGGTATCAACCTTCTGGTAATGAGAGCGATGGCAGCACAGGGGATTCCTCTTCTTCGGATGAAGACGACAAACCTGGTAATTTATTATCGCTGTTCGCCTGCAAAACAATTTGTAATTTAAAATTCATTCGCATTAAAATTTATGCATACGCCAAACCCTGAAAATGATTGTCAAGGCGAGCTCCGGTTATGTGCGATTAAAATGACGAGGTAATACCTTCTTCCTCCCACACTAAGAAGAAGTCACGTAAAATGAGCATAGCAGCCCTAAATAAAATTTCTGAATTGTGTAAAATAATTAGGCTGCTCTGCCCCAATTTTGCATAAATAAACCTAGTTGACTGACAATGCGATGACGCCAGAGGTCTCGCTACAATTTTTATGAATCTACGTAATTATATAGATTTATATAAATAATTAGACACATGTTTCGGGTTTTTTCATAATGCTCAGTTTGAACGAAGTTATGTTAGCACCAGTGAGCGAAAATTGGCAATCTTCTTTGGAAATGCGTTGACCTTTGTTTTCATTTCTCCTCTTTTTTTACTCACTTTCGCTTCTAGCAACTTTGACTCTGCGGATATTTTTTAAAATTTAAAAATATAAAATAAATGTATAACGGATATTTGAAAAATAGAGTTATTTAAAATTAATGATAATCGCTATTTTATTTTATTAGTTATTCAATTTGGACTATTTTGACAATTTTTTTAATAATAGCAGGAAAAAATATTCTCAGCGGACATAATTTATTAAATGAAATAACCATTACCATTAATTTTAGATAACTCGATTTTTAAGTTCTTTAATAATTTAATTTAATTTCTTTAATAGTTTCGAAATATCTGCAGACTCAAATTTGCAAGAAGCAAAAGTGAGTAAAGAAAGAGGGGAAATGAAAACAAAGGTCAACTCATTTGGCAGGGAAAAATTGCCAATTTTCGCTCACTTATACCACCACAACTTCGTTCAAACTGAGCATTATGAAAAAACCCGAAACATGTGTCTAATTATTTATGTAAATCGAAATAATTACGTAGTTTCATCAAAATCGGAGCGAGACCGCTGGCGTCATCGCATTGTGAGTGTGGCATCAAAAAGATGGAATAAATCGAACTTCAATATTTGTACGTCACAAATTCTTTCTCAGGGCGGCGATGCTCGTTTTACTAACAATTTCTCTCCGCTATAAGAAAAGGGTTATTTGCTCCTGTTAATCGCACATATCTAACCAAGTCTCACCCAACCAATCGTTTTTAGTAACATGCACACTCTATTGGTGTGTTTAGATTCGGAAATAATTCCCTACCGGATCAGTTTGTTTCAAATTTGGGTTGTCATTACCAGAACGATAATGGTCGTAATTAACATGCCGTTAGAGTCATATACATATGTATATCCTCCTAGTAGAAATGATTTAATAACAATTGTCCATTTCCAACCTTTATTTTGCTAACAAAGCTTACATGTAGTGTCAAATAAATTAGTATTTGTAAAGTTTTTTAATGTTTGGCCTGTTAATCGGCCATGAGTTTTTGAGTTTTGAGTACAAATTCGATTAGCAACGATTAACAAAAACAGCACTTACAATCGGGAGGCAAAGAGCACCTAAGTTTAAAAGACCATCTGTTTAGAAACAATATTTGGCACATAACTCAGAAAGTTATGGGCGCCGCAAGATCGCAAAAAAGCTTGATTTCAATAGGACTTTATGCTTTGGAACACCAGCTCAGTCAGACTTTCCATATTTCTCGAGTTTTAACTCTCACATACGATAAGAAATTCTTGTTTCAAAAATCCCGGGCATCAATCTGTCATGCAAAAAGGGATGTAAACGTTTGCCAATTTTGTTTGCCAATTGTAAAAATTTGCAACTTATATAAAATTCCAACCAAATTAAAAGTTAAAAACCTATCAGTACAGCTTTGCGGAGCCCGACCCAGGGTAATGAAATATCGGTGTGGGTCACCCCAAACGGTCACTCACGATGAGAATTTTGTCAATTGCACGTCATATCCTTTCCTTAAAAGCCACTGGCTTTCCTTATGCTAATTTTCATCTCCATTGAATGACTTTGAAAAATCGGTATGGGTCACCCGTTGGGGTCCCTTCGAATGAAAAATTTTCATATTTCACCTCATATTCGTTCATTAGAAGCAATTAGCTACCTCCATGCTAAATTGCATCCTTCTATCTCCATTTCGAATATTCAACAGACCCCCACCACTCAAATGACCCCCACCGGTCAACCACTAGACCGATTTTGCTCATCTTCGAACTTGATTCCTAATTTGGCATGTTCTAAATGTGTGCCAAATTTCCAGTCGATAGGACAAGTTTAAAGAGAGTAATCGATAGACGGACAGACAGACAGACAGACGGACATCACGGGTACATAAGCCCTGGGTCGGGCTAAAAATAAATATGTTTCTTATTGCAAAAAAATGCGAAATTTTTCAACGAATGAAATTTGTCACAATTTTCATGAAAAAATATCAAATTGACGAATTTTTCATAATTATTTGTTATATTGCGCAAAAACAAAATTTTTTAGTATTGAGAAACTTTTCTGCAGTATATCAAATTATTAAACTTGTTAATTTTCTTGGAATTTCCCCAGAACGACGAGATTTCAATTAGGAAAATTTTGCAAATTTGTACAATTTGCAAAAAAATTGGCAAATGTTTGCATTCATTTTTGCAAGACAAAAAGCCGGGGATGTATGGAAGAAGATTTCCTTATTGTATGTAAACTTGAGAAATAAGGAAGGTCTGAGCTGTTGTTGCAAAGCATAAATTAATATTGAAATCAAGCGTTTTCGCGAACTTACAGCGACCATTTCTGTTTATGAGTTTTGTGCATCTGCGCAAATGCCGGACCAAATGTTGTTTCTAAAGAGTTAGTCTTCCAAACTGAGGTGCTCTAAAAATAATCTGGGTTGAACATGGTTTGTCTCCTCATTGTTAGTCACAAAATAATTAATTTTATGTCACGTGATTACCATCGGCAAAACATTTAAGAGGAGGACAAGGTGTCATCCCTGAATTTAAGCTGATTTCCAATTAATTCGTGTTGTCTAACCAAATTTTTTAGCCAAAAGCATAGCGTATTTACCCGTCATGTCCGGAAAATACCTTTTTGAGCACGGTATAATTTGCACCAAATTCCAGGTGGTAGCAGGAGCCAAAACGAGTGCACGACGCCACACATGAGCCCGGAATCAAGCAGGAGTCCTACTAGAGGCAATACTCCATAAACTCTTGCAGCACAAAATCTCCTAAACCCTTTGTTTGTAAGTACCGAGTGATTATTATAACTAATTTCTAGGTGTTTTTGCGGTTAGAAGGGTTATGTGGGTGTATAATTGAAATCCTCAGAAAGGAAATCTTCAACAAAATGGGAAGCCAAACTCAAGCACGGATGAAGCAACAAGACTGCAGTTACAAAATCCACAAAGCTTTGCAACTATAAAGATGAGCGAGCTGAGTAGTATTATAAACAACTCGATACTACAACCTATCACAAAGGAGGAGAGCCGATCATCAAGCAATGGATACGTAAATACTGCAAAATATTATAAATTTACATACATACTTAATGTTCGTACATTTATAATATTAATTACAGATATCTCCTCCTTCAGCTGTTGATCAATTTCATCTGAACATTAATTCCGCGTTCGAAACGATAATCAAGAACCGAGCCAAGATTAAAAGTGTGAAACCTCTAACCCACAAAGAGGTAATCAGGGCTAGCAATATTTGAAGAAATGGTTGATAATAATGCCCTAATAGATACCCTAATAGATTAATTATGTTCGAATAATAGTGTGTGCACTTTTAATTTTGATTGTGATTAACGCAAGAATTCATGAAATTTAAGGAATTTTGTTGTTCTTAGCCTGACAGAAAGTCGATGGATACCCATAAGCCTCTCATCGGACAACTGATCAACGATAATGGTCAAAACAATTCGGATGTACGTCCTGTCATGCAAATGAAAAAAAGTAAACCAATGGTACCCAACACGCAAATTGCTCATCACTCGCGGAGTATTAAAGACTGCTGGGAAGATGTTGGCCAGAAGGAAAGGTCAAGTCCTCACCGTTCGAGGTAGGTATAAAATAACTATTTTTAAATTCATTTCACAGTGTACATTGTACATCGTCCAGCCTCACCGAACGTCACACAAACGAAAAGGTGGATCGGAAAAGAATTCATTCTAGGCGCTCAAGGGAGAAAAGAGCGGCTAAGACTGACGAGCGTAGCCGGTCGAGGTATAGCTTACATATTAGTTATTTTTAAAGCAATGCAAAAATATCATTTTGGTCACAGATCCTCCAAGCACTCAGGCGAGAAAAGTACGGCAAACACTGACGAGCGTAGCCGGTCGAGGTATAGCTTACATATTAGTTATTTTTGAAGCAATGCAAAAATGTCATTTTGGTCACAGATCCTCCAAGCACTCTAGCGAGAAAAGAACGGCAAACACTGACGAGCGTAGCCGGTCGAGGTATAGCTTACATATTAGTTATTTTTGAAGCAATGCAAAAATGTCATTTTGGTCACAGATCCTCCAAGCACTCTAGCGAGAAAAGAATGGCAAAGACTGACGAGCGTAGCCGGTCGAGGTATAGCTTATATATTAGTTATTTTAGGAGCAATGCAAAAATGTCATTTTGGTCACAGATCCTCCAAGCACTCAGGCGAGAAAAGTACGGCAAAGAGTGACGAGCAGAGCCGGTCAAGGTAAGGATAAAACGAAACACGTTACAAGTTGTCACAAATATTGCTTATTTCCAACACATAACCAACACCCACGATTTAAGTAATGAAAACTAAATATTGTGGTTATTTGTTTTTTGCTGTTATTTCGTTGTGCAGGGCATCCTCATCCCAAAACGAACAAGAAGCAACAGCAACGATAACGTCTGTCCGAGAGAGGTAAAAGAGAAAAAATCGTGATAAATTTTCATCACTGTCCATGACTTTTAGTTCAATTATCAACTATTTTTACTGCAACTCCATTTTTAGATCTAGCTGTGAACCAGTAAATTGGGAAACTAAAAGGCAAAACTCACCGTCATCTTCTTCATCTGCAAACCTACTTGAGCTGCTTCAAAAACAAAAAGTATTGGCAGAAACGGAGGAAATTCGGGTTAATCTAAGCGGCAAGTTAAAAAGTAATCCTGTATTTCTATTAATTTGAATATTCAGTGACCTCTATCAGAATTAATTGTGGAATGTACTAATGCAGGACACGCGATTGATGTTAACGATGTCGATGAATCTTTTTTACTGGACAACGAGGAGCGTCGAAGGATGATAATTCAATCCGCAGCAATCCAATACGGGATTGAAAACTTCTCGACACTTGTGAAGAATAATTCTCCTACGTTATTTGCTCAAATTGAGATTGCCCAAGGCAGGCACGGTATTATTAAGAAAATGATGGCGGCATGTACAACGTTTCGCCAGGCGTTGAAAACGTATGGAAAGGAATTATCAGATCTCGAAGAGGGGCTATGGCTGAAAGATTTCGAAATGGCAAAAAAAATGACAAGTATTTTCAAATTCGTACATACAAAATTTGAACCCGATGTTGATCTCGGTAAGCACATTTATGTATAAATATTTAAGCTATTTCTAGTTACTCTATTAGACTTCTTTCTCACCTGAATTTGAGTGGAAGGATTTTTCTTCAATTTATGTAGGGTTTTGTATAATACTAGTAGCCACAAATTTATATTTTGGTACTGGGTTTAATTGGTTTTGGGTACATGAATCAGATAAAGGTCATTTTATTTTCTCCTTAGAAATTCATCACCAACAATGATCTTGTACTTATCCTTCGTATTGTATTTGTTCACAGCTAAACCTAAACCTCTCATTGTCGTATATTCTGGTTTGACGGACTTGTTGATGTAGTATTTTTATTGCAGCTTTTGACTCAATGTCAATCGCCCCCACTTTACCGGCTATAACCGTTCCTTCTAGCCCAGGGTCGGAAATTAGTGAAGCAGATGACTCAGACGAGCAGAGTTTGGGAAATTCTGCCAAGCAGAAAAGAGGAGGCAGAGAAAAGGAGATGCAGAGGCTACCAACCTGTCACATTTGTAGTAATTTTTTTTAAATAAATAATACTGTGTGTCATAATAATAATAATGTGTAATACTTGCATTGCGTTCATTACGTTTTTTATTTTTTTTTAATTTCAGAAATTAGTTTTACAACTGGTTACAGTAAATCCAGACACATCAGGGTAGCCCATGGCATTGGAACTTTCCAGTGTCCCTTTGTCGAAAATAAGGACGGTAGAATGGAGCAGTGCACGTATTACACATGGGTGAAGCAGGATTTTGTTAATCATTATACGGCAAGACATTTAAGAGGAGGACAAGGTGTCATCCCTGAATTTAACCTGCACAAATACGAGGAGGGAAAAACAGATAAGCACAACTCGAGCAAAAAATAAAAATAAAGTTGAAAATCATCAGGAATTATGTATGATTGCATGATGTCCTTAAAGTTAATAATTGAGCTGCGGGTTCAAGTATTTTCGTGTTGGTTTGTTTTTGTTTTATGGCTTTTTTCACTATGGAGGACTTTAAGCAGTGTTTTTTTCGTGCGTAATTATTTTTAGGTATCCATGCATTGGAACATTATAATATTTTTTACGTTTTTGCATTAGGATTTCCTGTACCTTTGCAGATATTTCGTGGATGTTATTAAGCAATGAAAAACAATTTTGTGCAGGTCTTATTTAAAATCAGAAACATTTTTTATTTTAAATGACATCTCTAGTTATGTTTTAAATTCTATTTGTCTTTAGTGTTTCTCGCTAAAAGTTTGTGTTGGTCATTTTGTTTGTTACAATTTAATTCGCTATTGTTAGTTTTAGTTTATTATAATTTATGACCAATGCGATATACTTAAGCACGCTGGTCAATGTAATTCCATAATTTAGTAGTTATGCACATGCAATTCTAGGGTAAGTCATGACCGTAAGGCAATAAATTATGTATATATATCTGGTAATTGAAATGAGGTGAATATGTAGAGATTTGAGCATACAAGATCCATAAACTTTATTCCATCTTCATATTTTTACTTTTGCCATTATTGCACACAATACATACGTCGCCTCCCACGCTCAACTTGAGGGAATGGAATGCGTTCACCTAAACATACACTTCAACCAAATAACATGTTGGATAAATGTGACATAGAAAAAGATTCTTTATTTTTGCCTGTTACATATTCTTTACTGCTCTTCCATTTTTCCACCTTCGCGTCAATTGAGAAGCCTAATACCAATTTAAGAAATTAGTCCGCATATTTTTTATGTCAACTTAGCCCATATTTATTGCACTACTTACAAATTTGCTTTCTGTATGTAAATTAGCATAAAAAATAACAGGTTGAATTATCATCGCCAACTGATCTTGATTAATTGTCTTTTTGTACAAAAAACAGGAGCAAAGAACGGAAAGAATGCCGCAAGTCGTTGGATCGGAACTAACCACCGTTAATCTTCTACAACACAGGTATCATGATCGGAAATATTTAAAATATAAAATCGTACAAAATGTTCATTGTATTCGGTTAGTATAATAATTTCTTTCCAGGTCAACAATTTTTTACGTTCTACATATGCGGGCAGTATTCTTAATATTTTTGCAAATCTGAATAAACAGTGAATAATAAATTATTTAATAGGAGGCATGAGTTTTGAGAAATGATCTGGCGAAACCGTGGCATGCCCACCTGATAGGTTAATTTCGAAACAAAATTCACATGGTTTCAATGCAAATTATTTTCAAACTCATTCTAATTTAAAGTAATCTTATGCTCAAGTTCTTAAATATACAAGAAATAGGTTGAGGTGAGCACGCCCAATTAAGGCAAAATGTCAAAGAATTTGTTTTGGAAAAAATATGCTCACCAACCGTGACCATTTACAGTTTTACTTGAAACATGTAAATAATCATAAATATTGTTGCTAGGTCATAATCCGAACGAGGCCGATGACGTGATGGCATTGAAAACAACGAAAACTATACTAAAAGTCATGTCTCTATGTGCCAAGCTAAAACTAAACACCACGTCGATGTTGCCACTTATCAAAATGTGGCAACCACTGAAGGGCCTGCTCCATACCTTTACGTGTAGAACGAAAGAACCCTTCTATTTCTAGCTTGGCATAAAAAGAGTTGACTTTTATTATGCCTGTGGAACACTTTCTTGATATGTAAGCTATATCCGTCCAAACTAGTAATGGAAATGCATTGAATATTCATACACGGTAAAACCAACCAGATTCATATATAAAGTTAGGTACATCTTTCTCATCATACTCGATGCATTAAAATTCTGTAATAATGCAGGTACATACCATCGTCTACCGCACAAAAAGTGGTTTATCCAGTGGGAGGCATTGGTTGCATATAACACACGATGCAGCACAACCAAGTTATTTACGAAATGCTAAAAGAACTTTCTTTCAGTCTGCCAGTTCCAATTCTTAACCCGCCTTGCACGAATGTATAAAGAGATGATTATTTGGCGTTTGGAAATAAAATCAGAAGAATGACTGGAAAAATCGTGCTTTTGTTAGGTGGCATTTTAGCTGTTCAGTCTTTGTATATTACCAGTGTGCCAATCACGAATTGGGGTAATTACCTTGACCCTGTAGAGTGTCCTACCGGATCTTTCGTAACCTCATTTAAATTACGAACTGAGTCGTATCGGGGTCAAGCCGTTGACGATACGGCCCTAAACGATATTGAAATTCGTTGTACCAACCCCACAACGAAACGTGTAGTATTCACGGGAAAAAGCCTCTCGCCACATGGTATGTGTAAAGTTATTTATGTGCGTGTGTCTTATACATATATATTAATTCTAGACGGCAAGCTATTTTTAAAATTGTAGTGGTTAATTTGACCAACAAGGGGACCGTAAGAACTGTCAACTCTCGATTTCCTTCCGAATAGCCTTACTTGATAGCTAATATAATGAAACTCAAACCTAGTCATAGAACACGTGGTGCAAATACACGTTCCGCGAAATATTTAGCGAGAGCCACACCGGAACCAGCAATTTTTCCAATGCTATTAACATCTGTAATTTCATGCTGATTACGAATTTGCCAAAATGTAATGCAAAAGTTGCAATTTTTTTGCAAATTGCGAAAATCTTGTGAACTTGAAAAATTGGATTGTTTATGCGAAAAAATTTTAGTTCAAAATAAAAATGTTCCTTACTGCAAAAAAATCGCGAAAATTCCCGACAATTTACAAAAATTGGGGTTCATAATTTTTAAACCCCAATTTGTTCAAGAAAACAGAGACGAAACAAAGAAGTTTGTCTTTTTCTCATTTTGTCATTCCGAAGGCTGAAAGCTATGTTAATAGCATTGAAAAAATTGCAGCTTTTGTTGCGGATCTAGCTAAATATTTTCGTAATTTTGCACCGCGTGTTGTACTACAAAGTTTGAGTTTCATTAAATTACCTATCAATTAAGGTTATTCGGAAGGAAATCGAGAGTTGGCAGTACTTAAGGCTCCCTCACAAGATTTAAATCGTTTCTAATTGCAGATGGGTGGGGAAATTGGGGAGCCTGGAAAGATTGTGGAACTGATCCCTACGTCTTCAGCGGTTTTCAGCTACGAGTAGAACCAAATCAAGGGGAAGGGGATGACACAGCTACTAATAACATCCGGTTTAAGTGCCGGGGAAATTCGAATGGAACGACATTTGCGGATGTGGTTGAGGGAGACGGTGGTAATTTTGGGTCATGGGGGAATTGGTCGCTTTGCCCGGCGCTGCACGGGATATGTGGTTATAGACTCCAATTCGAAAAATAGCGAGGAACTAAAGGTATGTATGTAATGAACAACACCATTTTTTTCCAGTATGCATAGTTTTAACTGATAGACGACAAAATACTGCTTGAAAAGTTGCTTCGTACCAAAAATTTTGTGCATTCCACACGAAATTTGCCATGGTCATTCACTGAAAAGGCCAAAATTTAAAACTTCACCTTCTTAATTTTTACCCACATCCATGTACAGTGCCCTTCGTGACATCAGCCGCGGTTTGGACACGACGAAACTTATCAAACTGTAGTCCAGCATTATTTCGGTCGTTTTAGATTATTAACTCATTAAAAACTTCAGAAACTCATTTAAAAAAAAGTTCAGATTAGGTTGGGCTGGACTTGCCAAAGTGCTTAATCCACTCAGATTTTGGTCGCACTTGTCGGAATTTTCAAGAAATTTTCAGATCTCCAAAAGGAGGATTTGTCAAAAACATTTAACTTTTCCAAATGGTTTCCAGAATTAGCTATTAATTTATTATTAATTTAAAATGATTTTTTAAATGGTTTTGAGGACCAGATTTGTTTAAAACTATACAGTTTTATTTTTATTCAACCAAGCTTTCTCCAACTAACGTTGTCTTGTTCAGAGTCATAAATATACAATTGTTTTTCTGACAGAACACTATTTCAAAAATTTTTTGTTGTTTGCTAAATAAATTATAATCAATTTTCCTAGGAAATTCATGGATTTTTAATGAGGGGAATAATAGTTGGTAACCAGATAGGATTTATTCTCCTACCATCCTTGATGTTCATGCTGGATGGATTTTTCTTAATATATAACGCTTCTTTAATTTTTCTGGGATAATAATTATTATTAATTGGTTGGTATTTGTGTATTTGATGAAATTATACTTTTCAAAAACTTTTAATTTTTAAAAAGTAAATGTTTTTGTCATTTTTCAAAATTCAGAAATAAAATGCCAACCTCAAATTATAATCGTTGCTAGGATTATGTCGCATATAATTTCATGAATTTCGTGTAATTTGCATGTAAAATTATGTTTAATAATTCTGAGAAAGCACGCCCTTCTAATCTTGCAATCGAGTTAAAAAATACAGAGTTGTTAAAAATCCTTATTTTGACTGAAATTTACTCAAAAATTCCGGCACCTGCAAAAAGATCGCACCTTAAGGAACACACAAAAATCTGACAAGGGAACCTTAAGTAGACTTCAACTCGATTTCCTTCCGGATAGTCTTAATTGATAGACAATTTAGTGCAAATTAAACTTTGTCATAGAACATCCTGTCCAAAATCGCTTTTTCGCGAAATATTTAGCTTGATAAATTAAATACCAATTGCTATGAAATTTCATGCTGGTCAGTGATCACGAACATGCAAAACCGATGCAAACAGTTGCCAGTTTTTTACAAATTGCAAAAATCCGCAAACTTTTCTAAACTTGAATATTTATGCAAAAAAATAAGAAGCTAAAAATTGTTCTTAAAATTGTTCCATAAAATTGAAATTCATAACTTCTCATGATACACAGACCAAATTTCCAATACTGGTCTACTTTAAGAATTTTTCAAAACTGTTTTTTTATTAGATTTTTACAAATTCCTACTAATTGTTATTGTGAATCTTTTGCATATTACTGTAAGGCCTGTGTCGATATTGGGTCTATCTAAATAGCTAAAATGGTTTGTTGAATATGCAGAAAACTGACAATACAAATTTCCAAAATCTTTCGTATTTCTGAAAAGTTTGACGATTTTTTTGAAAAATAAGTTGTTAACTTATTTTTTGTATTTTTTTGTAGTAAATAATAAGAAAAAGCGTTAAATTTGAAAGGATTAGCAGTTTACAGATTTTCCCAATTTGCAAAAAATTGACCGGTCTTTGAAATTTGATTTGTTTATCAGGAGAAGTTATGAAGGACAAGGAGCATTAAGGGCTGTTTTCCGGCTAACGTTTTGAGCATCGAGCGTTTCGAGTTCTAACCCGCTTAATTTTATAGATCATGGTAGTAGAAGAAAAAATCATAATGGGCGCGTTGCCATAAAATGCCTCCCTCACCTTCTGTAGGCCAAAACTGAGGACTTCGCCATATCAACTATTGCCACCTTCAGGGGCCATTATACCCAGAACGGCTAAAGATTTCTTAATACTACCAATTTGAGAAATAATGGTGGTTACATAGGGTTCCTA